TATGTATGTATGTATGTAATTTTGTAATGTATGTAATGTATGTATGTATGTATGTATGTATGTATGTATGTATGTATGTATGTATGTATGTATGTATGTAATGTAATGTAATGTAATGTAATGTAATGTAATGTAATGTAATGTAATGTAATGTAATGTAATGTAATGTAATGTAATGTAATGTAATGTAATGTAATGTAATGTAATGTAATGTATGTATGTATGTATGTATGTATGTATGTATGTATGTATGTATGTATGTATGTATGTATGTATGTATGTATGTATGTATGTATGTATGTATGTATGTATGTATGTATGTATGTATGTATGTATGTATGTATGTATGTATGTATGTATGTATGTATGTATGTATGTGTGTGTGTATGTAATGTATGTATGTATGTATGTATGTATGTATGTATGTATGTATGTATGTATGTATGTATGTATGTATGTATGTATGTATGTATGTATGTATGTATGTATGTATGTATGTATGTATGTATGTATGTATGTATGTATGTAATGTATGTATGTATGTAATGTATGTATGTATGTATGTATGTATGTATGTATGTATGTATGTATGTATGTATGTATGTATGTATGTATGTATGTATGTATGTATGTATGTATGTATGGTATGTATGTATGTATGTATGTATGTATGTATGTATGTATGTATGTATGTATGTATGTATGTATGTATGTATGTATGTATGTATGTATGTATGTATGTATGTATGTATGTATGTATGTATGTATGTATGTATGTATGTATGTATGTATGTATGTATGTATGTATGTATGTATGTATGTATGTATGTATGTATGTATGTATGTATGTATGTATGTATGTATGTATGTATGTATGTATGTATGTATGTATGTATGTATGTATGTATGTATGTATGTATGTATGTATGTATGTCTGTAATGTATGTGTGTATGTGTGTAGTGTATGTATGTATGTATGTATGTATGTATGTATGTATGTATGTATGTATGTATGTATGTATGTATGTATGTATGTATGTATGTACGTAACGCAATGTAATGTAATGCAATGCAATGCAATGCAATGCAAGGTAATGTAATGCAATGTAATATAATGTATGTGTTGTATGTATTGTATGTAATGTATGTAATACACGTAGCGTATGTATATTGAAGATCGCCCGCGGTGACAGTAAATTGAACTTGCCAGATTACGCCCCCCCCCCCCCCCGCGGTGACAGTAAATTGAGCGCCGACGCACGAGAGAGGAATAGGAAGCTGACGTCTTACGATCAGCGCAGCTGCGACTAAAATGCCCACGCCTCAAGCGAAACACAATTCTTCAAAAGGCATGTGTTTTCTACATACATTGCAAACAAAGCCGTCATGTTGCGAGACACCCTGAAACGCAAATCACTGCAACATAAATGCATAGTTGTTCAGCCTTGGTGAGGAAGCAACCCCCTTCAAACGCAGCATGCAACAATGGTTCGCCATTGTTGATATTCTAACTTGGATGTTCTAAACAAAAATACCCAGACAAATGTCGCACGCTTAAATATGTTCTAACCCGGGTTCAGTTAGAACATGGATTCACCAAATGATGTTCTAACTTGAAGTCTGTCAATATAATGTATTCAATGTATTTAATGCATGTATGTATATTTTCATTTGTCTGGTATGGATTCACGGGGCCACTTTTGAAGTGCCCGCTGAAGAGAACAGACATGCGAGCCCGCCTTGTTCTTATTTGTTCCGAGCCAAAGTGATGGAATTGGGGATCTCAGATGTGGGTTTCTTGGGCATGGCTGCTGATCTCTGCATTGGTTTGCTTGCTCCTAGGAAGGACTCGTCCATGGTCATCCGATGGAAGGGGCTCTTCAATTGATTAGGCTGCTGCTCAGGTGTTGACATGCAGGCAAACAACACCTGTCCGATTCGCTGACGTCGTCTGATCGGGGACTGTATTACTTGTTCAGTGTTGCGATGTTGGGACTCATAATCATATCTGTGCATAGTTGTAAACGGACATGACTCTGTGTATATGCAGAGTATATACAGATATATATAAATTAACACACATATATGCATGTATCTTCACGAGTGGGTGCATAAAAATCATCGAGTTGTGCTGCCCCAAAATTCAAGTTCTCGACGGGGCTTGCGAATTATTGGGCTGAATCAAATTCATCGTGAGCCATATTTTTTGTTGCTTCTCTGCGGCGCCCGTCTTTGCCTGTCCATTTCTGGTGTGTGTGTGTGTGTGTCGCAGCATACCCTCTCAGCCAGTCACACAGAACCGGCCACTAGGTTTATTATTCAAGATTGAAAGGGATTTTTGGCAGTTAGAAGTTGGAGAGCAAGTCCTCTCTGACTGCCTGTGTTTCCAAAGAAGAAGTAACGCAGTCGTAGATTCAGGGTGCGAACTCATCTACTTCAAGGGGCAATTGAGCTTCTTGCGGAGTCATGCAAGCAGCGGGGACTTTTGCTGAAATATGATATTTCAGGCTTTTCTCGGATAATGTAGCTGAGGAAGCAATGAAACCAGGGTTTTCAAATCGAAACAGGGGCTTGTTAACTGCCTGGGATCTTGCTGGAGATTGCAATGCTATGAGGGCCCTTGGATACTGGCTATCGCTGCTGGAATTCTGGCTTGCTGTAAAGGTCACCAAGAAATGAATGTCCCATGCATGAGCAGACAAGATTTGTTTCAATCCTCCAGTTGCTGGCCAAAGATTCAGTCGGTTAGTCTGGTTGCTGTACCCGCTACAAGCTCCTGCAAGAACGTCCTTGTTCTCCTTCGCCACCGAGCCATTTTGATCCGTTCCACTGGAAGCTTCAATGCAGACCTTCCCACCAATGTAACATGATCCCCTCCTCCCAAGTAGCGTATGGAAGGGGTGAATAACATTATGCCATGTTTTCCAAGTTTAGGACCACAGATGATCGGCTCACACGGGAACACGAAAAGGCCTCCAGGCAGCGATGATTTGCTTGTTTTTCTCCATGTGCGCAGCGCATGTCACAAGTCGGGCTGTTTTACCAATACAAAGATGCCCAGCAAAGTGACGTCGCATTTGGCATCGCAGACGCGATATTTCACGCCTCGTCAGCATGTTGACGCTTGGCATTTCGAGCCCGTGAAGCTCCACGAGCGGTTGCCCATTGAGCATAGGCGTCGACACGCGAGCCTTCCATAGGTTCTTTGCTCTCCCATCAGGTCGGACACCAACAAATACATGCTCCGCTAAGCAGCAAGGTTTCCCATGTTTCCCTTAGATTCCCGATCTGTGGAGGAGTACTTTTATCGCAACTCAGAAGGCCGTGTTTGCGCGTTTCATGGATCCATGTTGGGCCTGTTTTGTAAATCGTGGCGCAGATCGGTTATCTCAGATACATGCCCATGCCTGCTTCCACCTTAATGGGTGTTTCTCAAAATATCTAGGGGTCACCGTTTTATGGTTCCCTTTGGGTCTCCCTGGACTCTCAAACTACCTTGAAACATGGGTTATTGTCCCACAGCGATGGGGCGAGTCCCCTTTTTTATGGGTAGTTGGAGGGTCCAGGTCCATATCTAGGTCCCCCCAGTAGTGCCCTTTTACCCTTTTTGGGGGGAGAGTGCAGAAAAAAGTGTACCCTCATTCTAACCTCTCTGGAGGACCTAGTTGTGGTGGGATCCCCAAAACAGGTGCATGCCCGAAACAGGTCGTTTTGTATTTAGTTGTCCCCCAAACAGCTTGGTTGGTTCGCATTTCGTATCCGACTCAACAAGACCTTTTTGTTGAGAAACTCTTCCATTCGCCTAGGAGGTGGAGCTCAGCGAATTGCAGGCAGCGCAAGCAGAGAGTTGCCCTCCCTACAATCATGGCAGGGGGGTTCTCCAAATGGAAAATCGTCTTCCAAAATCCTCCTGTCAGCGTCCATGATGGTTGGAGGGAGGGTATATCTCGTAGAACATGTACTTGTTTGCCTTTTAAGACGTGTTTTCGGTGCTCATACTGGCATTGCAATTGGGTTTCTCACGAATCATAAGCTCCTGTTGGGCATGGCTTTGCCCGCATGTCCCTGGTTGAGGGGCAGCTGCAATGTATGGTGTTCATCATGGGCATGACTTGTTGTGATTTCATGTGCCATGTTCACAAGACTTTTTTTCCTGCTGACTTGGTTTCGCGTTCGGCCTGGCCTTTAGCATTTCAGATAGAGTTGTTTGTAAATCCTGGCAACAAGTCTTGGCTGTTTGCAGGGCAACAAGGACTAGCACAACGTGGAATACCTTCACTGACAACACTCTCAGACATCCATTGCGCTGAAACCGTTGGCCATACTCCAATCCTCTGCTTGAGGATTTGACAGGTGCTGATCATGGCGCAAGTCTTGATTAATGTGCAGCTTGGATACGTTTCAATAATGCCCTGACGGATCAATGTGAACGCATGGTACAGGAAAGCGAAACCCTAATTTGGACCAGCTCTCATGTTTTTGTCTTATGTCTGTGATGAACATGTTTGCCATGGTTAATGGCTAGCTTGCTTGGTCTTGGGGGGATCAGTAACCTCTCAATGAAGGTTTCAGAAACCACCGTCAGTGAAACGCTTCCTGCGGGAACTGTGACCATGACTTACAAGAGCGTTTACCATGGTACATACCACTTGGCAACCATGGGAACCCATTGCTTGTTGGTATTTACAGGAGAATCGAATCATTCCAGGGTGCTTAGGAGCTGCCTGGCTGCCTGAGAGGATTTCGTCCACCCACATGTCAGATTGTGCGCATGCCGATGCATTTTGCAGCTGGACGGGCTGAGGGCAACCGTCAGCCTGGGGAGCTGCACTCAGCCTTGAGACAAGCCCAGATGCATTGCCAGTCACTCGCCGGGTGGAAACTTGTGGCGGTTACACACAAGACCTGAAGCAGGATCTAAAGCAGCTACCACTTTCTCGCTCAGTTGCAGCCCGAGTCAGACAGCCCCAGACACACCAGCACCCACCAAGTCATTCGCC